GAACAAAAAAAATATAAGTATATCATTGAAAAATACACAAATTTGTTATATTTTAAATTATTTTGAGATTAAATAATAAATAAGTAAAAGAAAAGGTTTAGGGCTTAACACTGAACCTTGAGGGACTCCATATGTTATCTGCCCAAATCCTGATTCTTCATTTTCAAATTAGAACTAGTCAAATTAAAACTAGTAGAATTAGTTAGAACTTTATCAGCCATGACATCAGTTATGGAGCTCATAGTATGAAGAAAAGGTCAGAAGTCTTGCAGGCTAGGCTAATGGCTAACCAAACAACTTTGTTTAATATAATTTTTATGACTTATTTAAAACAAATATATTTTAAAAAATAATATGCTACTGTGAAAAAGTGCTACGGAGCTAGTACTAAACCTCTACAATTTTGCATGACTCAGTTTCTTTAGATTGTTGCTGGTTTTTTAATCCAACAACCTGCTTGTTCTTACGACAAGTGTTTTAGTCATTAGCCTAGCCTGAACAGACTTCTGACRTCTTCTCCATAMCCTGCTTTCTATAATGCCAAGACTRATGAGGAACAAAKAAGCTATTTGAAARAGCACATTAAAGACTTGTGACCTTGAACAGGTCACACAACCTCCACTGAGGAGAACAAGGCAACATCTGACTTTACAAGACTCTACACACTCTAWAAAGAATCCAAAATAACAGCTACTCCACTATTTTTGCAAAAGTAGTTTAGGAATTCAACCACATTCTTTWTGCTTTTTCTGAAAAGGTTTTATGTCGCCCCCCACCCCCGWGAATTATATTTAGCTGGAGTACCATGCAGGTCCAATTAACTGTAAACCTCTGCAGTGTCCCGCTGTTGTTAGTGAGCGCAGCTGCAGCTGCTCTGCCTGGCAGGGACATTTGATGCTGTGACAGTAAATTATTATTATTCTGAGCCTACACCAAGCTATGCAAACCTGTAACTCCAATACACAGTACAGTCATGGTAATTCAAATTCAATTCAATTCAAAAATACTTTATTGATCCCAGAGGGAAATGAGGTGTTGTTGTAACTCATTTAACTAAAAACTTATTGTAGATGCTGATGGCTGTGGGCAGGAAAGATCTTCTGTAGCGGTCTGTATTACAGCGAATTTGAAGAAGCCTCCGACTTCTTCTWGTCTTCTTCGACTTCTCTTCTAAAAATGTAATTGCACCATTTTTCAGTTTTAGGAACATAATAAAGCACAAAGTTTTCATTAGGTCCTAATTTTAGTAAATTTGATCCCAGGCAAACACGTTACATTGGGTCATTATGCAGTAACTCGCAACAAGAAGCCATTGTGCCACAATTCCAATCACAACTGTCAAATGACCCTTAAAACAAATGAGTTGCAAACCAGTCCCACTAAGCTTCATTTCTTTGTTGCCAGGATGTTTCTTTATTCTCTATTACATGCAACAGAATATCGGAACATTACCAAGGTAAAAACATGATTTTTATCAAAGTCCTTTTAGATCTATTTTTTTAAACTCAACTAAATCTTCAATTGTTGTCAGGTATACTAACTTCATCAAATAGAATAACAAAAAAATTATATTAGTTGAGTGCATGCCAACGTTTTAAGCGAAGATGTTTCATGACATGTAGCACTTAGAGTATGTGTTGGAGATGATGCTCAGCTACTACTACACTAAAATTTAGCTATATCTGATTCATCCAATGAATTCTTTCTGAGAGGTTTATTAAAATGCATCCAGTGGTTTGTGAGATATTTTGCTAACAAAGAAATCCACACACAGCAATATGGGCAAACCATTTTCTCTTTAGTCTTCAGTGGAAAGCAATAACTTCTGTTGTACTATCTAGCATGGAGGAAGCTGAGCTGGGGGATATTTTGAGTTGGTCCATCCAAACCAGGAACAGAGATTGCTAAAAAAGTTAACATGTTTCGAGGCAACAGGGTTCTGGGTGGGGGGAGGGGGGTGAGATTCATCCACAGTGATTTCCTCAAAGCTCTGGATGGTGTGGGGCTGTCTTGGTTGAGGCCTTTGCAACATTGCATGGGCATCAAAGACAGTGTCACTGGGTTGGCAGACTGGGGTGGTGGTTCCTCTCTTCAAAATGGGGACCAGAGGATTTGTTACAGTTATAGGAGCATCACTCTCCTTAGCCTCCCCAGTAAGGTCTATTCAGTGGTGYTGGATATGAGTCCTATCAATGGTTGAACCTCAGATTCTGGAGGAACAATACAGGTTCCGTCCCGGCTGAGGAACACTGGACCAACTCTTTAGCCCCACTGGAGTTCTGGAGGTTTCATGAGAGTTTGCCCATCCAGCCTACATGTGTTTTGTGGACTTGGAGAGGGCATTCAATCGTGTTCCTTGAGGGGATGGTCAGCAAATATGGAATTAGGGGTCARAGTTTTGTTAATATATTGTCAGCACTAAGTCGTATCCCTTCAGGGTCAGAGTTGGGCTCTGTAAGGGCGATTCTCTTCATAACTTCTATGAACAGATTTTTTGTTGGCCTTTGGTAGATTTCAGTTCTATTCTTTGCAGATGATGTGGTCCTGTTGGCATCATTGTGCTCCAGCTCTTACTGGAACAGTTCACAGTCAGAATCAGGCCTAGGAGCCATCATTTGGGAGGCTTTTTGTTCATGTCTGACTGGGAGGAGACCACTGGGGAGACCCAGGACATGCTGGAGAGATTGTCTCTCGACCGGCCTGGGAATGCCTTGAAATCAGTGAGTATTTGATGTCTTGTGCTCTGTCTCCCTCTGGTGTCTGTCTTGTGTCTTTCCCATCTTGTTCCTCAGTCTTTTCTGGATCTTTCTAGTTCATTCTTCTCACACCTGACTGTGCTTGTAATCACTAAGCTGTTTCCACGTTTCACTCAACCCTGTCACTATATAACTAGTTCTTCTCTTCCACTTCCTTGTCCATTCATTGTTTGGTTTTGCCTCGTGTCCTGCTCTGTGTTCATGCCTGGATTTCTTATTTCTGTAGTTTTTTTTTGCCCCCACATTGTTGTTTTTTTTTCCTTTAATAAACCTTGTTTTATCTTAAGCCTGCCTGCCTGCATTTGGGTCCATCCTGCCACCAAGCCTTCACGATATCATTCCAGAAGAGTGGGAAGTGGTGGCTGTTGAAAGAGATGCCTGGACTTCCCTGCTCAAGCTGCTGCCCCGGCAACCCAACTTGGGAACAGGCAGAAAATATTGGATGGTGGATGGATGGATGCACTGTTAACAATTTGTCCATTACCTGTCCACAGCGATGGCCAGCAGGCTACACATGGACGCAACAACAGAGATGCAGATCATTGAATCAAAGACGTTGTCCATCTGTCTGATGAAGTGCTCCTCCACCACCAGCTGTCGGTTGTTCAGCAGGTAAATGATGATGGTCTCCCAGGCATTAGACACACTCACCAGCATATCTGCTACTGCCAGACTGTAGCAACAAATGGGAGAAAAGTCTTGGTCAGAGAGTTGTTCATTAAACAGATACATAAATAAATAAATAATCAGCTGCTTTCAGATGAGCCACTAAAGGCCTTCTTTTACACAAGGTGAAAATGGGTTTGCAGCACAAAAACCTGCAATCTGTCTTTATTGTTCTTAAGGCCATTGGGCCTCATGCAAGAACCGTTCGTACGCACAGATTTGTTCTTAAATTGTGCGTACGAGTGATTAAGGAGAATTYSTGGCATTCACCAATGTTTTCGTATTCTACGATTTTTTTCAGATACAAACAAAATTCACGAATGGTCCAGACCTGTCGTATATTTTACGAACAGTCTGCTGTTATCCAGACGGATTTTCTTCAGTAATAACTTTATACTTAGTTAGTTTGAAGATATTTTGAGTTGAAAATAAATTACACTCCATAATTATGTTGGCAATAGGCTATTCTGCTTGAATTAGAGTTATAATTTTAAATGTAAAAATTTAGATTAATAATATAAATTGTCCGTCCGGCCGGCTTATCCGCTATCGGGTGTGGGGGCAGCAGCAGAAAGACGACACTTTCCAGCTCGTCCTGGGGGACTCAGAGACGTTCCCAGGCCAGAGGGGGTACATAATCCCTCCAGCGAGTCCTGGATTTTCTCCAAAGTGCCAGACTGATTTTGAAAACATTTTAAAATGCTTATTTCAAACCCGCATCTGAGACCACCTGCGACCGCGCGGCGCACGGGGGGGTGTTCGGTGCATAGCGCTGTGTCTTCTGAATAAATGAAAATGATTTAACACAGTTGTTTATACTTTTAGCAGCTCATTTTATCCCACAGCTGACCTGCTAAAAATGACAGATTTTCTTTTCTGGATCTCTGACAGACGGACTTCAATCTCTGAACTCGTAAAGTTCTTTTTAGTTTTTGCTGTCATTTTTCATGAATGAACACTTGTATCTGAGGCAGGAAACACAGCCTTATATGGTGTTTTTGGGGTGGTAATTATGCTAATCTCCTCTCGCGTGCASGAGCAGYTGGATACGAACAGGTGGAATTTACGCAGCTCATTTACACMCTTTTCCTGAAGATAGAAGAGTTTGTTGAATCTGACGTGACATGTTCGTACGAACCCTTTGTACGAACAAAAGTAAGAGAAATTTAGGATAAGAACACGAACATGTTCTTGCATGAGGCCCATTGTGTCTGTCATGCTTTGGGTTGTAGGTTAGACAGGAGGTACTGTAGGTCTAAAAAAATCCTAGTTTTCAGAAAACTGTTTTTATTTCTGTCAACACAAAAATACATGGATGGTGTTTCAACATTTTGTCTCTCTGGTGCTCAATTTAGAAAAATATTATTTAGGGAAATTTCTATTCCTGCTCATAAGAAAGTCTAAAACAGTAAAAAAAAATACATATTCACAAAAATCATTCCCATGTGGACATGTCTTTAAYCCTTCTGCTGTCTAAGCATTTAAGCAGACGCTAAAGCTGGAAACATACTCAGTCCGAACTGCCGACGTCGGCACGGGTTGTCGCAATTTCATGACGAGAATTCTGTCACCAGTGTTCGCAGCGTCGGCCCCTTTTGGCACAAACCACCGGCAGAACTTTTGACACCCCCCCCTCCCGTGACGACGGTAATGTGTGATTGGTCTGAAGTTCGTGGGCGTGTTTGCTTGTGCTGAAAGCGCTTGGATGGTTACGCTTGGTAAAATAAAAAAAGAAGAAAATGACTCGCTTCCAGAACCGACCGAYCAGCAGGCAGAGTTTTAAAAAGCCAGTCAAACAGTGAAAAAAGCATTACTGGAGATAAAACAGACGTTGTGCACGGAGGAGTCTGACTGATAAAAACTGTGGAGCTTTAACCAGGACAGATGTGGATAAATAATGTGGGGTGAGTGTTGAGTCTGACTTTTTTTCCCTGCATTGTCGAATGTAGCGGCAAGAAACTCCATGCAGCGATGTATGTTGCAGCGGGAGGAGTTTCCCAGGAGCTCAGTGCGGTGTGTCTCTGGAGCTATGAAAGGTCTGTGCGAAAACAAATGCCGAACAACCACATGAACGCATGTCGACCGGTCGGCGTCGGAGCGAGTATGTTTCAGGCTTAAATACGTTGAGAGCGAAACCTTCTGCAGTACATTGCAACTAAGGCCCCCATCCCATGGGAACATTGTCCTTCGAAAAGTGTCTTTTTCCTTTATAGCATGAACGACCGTGACCCCTGACATGACCTTTTGACCACCACTGGTCATGTCCACAACTGAACTTTGTTTTTTAAATTTTTTCTTAGACAAAACTCTGTATTAGCTTCAAAATATGACCTCGTCTGCAGATAATGCTGATGTGACAAGTTTTTTAAATCTTTTAAGAATCATTATGTTGAAAAAAGAAAATACTCATTAATAATGATTAACACAATTTTCCTGTTTTAGAGATATTTTTATTTCAAGTGTGTATAACTTACTGTGACCTGAGATGATTTCTTAAATGTCATTAATTTTAACATACAATGTTAAATGTAACTGACTGTTCTTTCTCTTTTTTGTGAGCAGGAGGAAAACCACTTGTGTGTGTGCATTACTACGCCACTCTAAGTAATTATGATATTCTCCCCAAAAGAAATGTTGTGTTGTTCTGACAGAGACCTGTTTACCTTTTGTTTTGTCTAAGACCCACACTCAGCTGTACGCTGTGTCAAACAGAGGAGTCAAGTTTAGGTTTTCAGAGGGTGCCACATTTTTTGCTGCATATACGACCACTCACACCTCTGTAAATATGAGTCTGCTTAAAAAGGATGAATAAATGTTAGTCAATAACTGACCTGGTGCCCCAACTTGGTAAAGTGTAGTGTAGGACAGAAATAGTTAATCACTCTTTCTGTTTCTCTCCTAACAACTCACTACACCTTTTAAACACAGCAGAAATCCAAGATTATTTCACTCAGAAACACAGTAAACAAGTAGTAAAAGTCAAACACTGCAGTTAGCAGAAGTTGCAAATTTCAATACATCCAAACTGACATTAAGATAAAACAAAGTACTGGACCACCAAACATTCTTATAGTACTAGCAAAGGCAAGAAAGCAAAGGGATTCCTTTTACTTCACATTAAAAACACCTTTGAAATGAAATCTTACTACGCTTTAATCTTAGTCTTCTCCTCTGTTTTGCTCTGAGTAAAATTTGAAGTCACATCAAAGCAAGCGATACCTTTGAGCAGACTAGCAATCAGAACAGAACTGTCTGATTTACTTTTGAATGTTTAGTTGACATTTGATGGTGTTCTTTGGTCAAAGGTAAATGTACAATCTGTCTTCTCCAGATTTTCTACGATGTCATAGGGTTCATTCAACCTTCAAAACCTCAGCACAATGACTGTTTGATCTTTAGTCTTTAAAAAGCATAGCAAAAAAAAGATTTTGCATCAAAAATATTTTGAGACATCCGTCATCAGCTAATTGGACTACACTTATTGTCTAACCTTTACTCAACATTTTCATTACATAATTATGTTGAGAAATTAAAAGATTAATTTAGTCAAAACTTAAAAATGACATTATGCGCGTTTGTCATGGGAATGACTGTATGAATGACTGTAATGACTTGTTTGAATGACTGTAGACTGTTACCATACCTAAATAATACCAGTTAATGTATGGATGTTAAGCTAATGATTACTCTCTAAAAGTTCATTGAAATCTCTCTAGTGATTCATGAGATTATTTCAATAGAAAAACAATAAATGGCAAATTTTAACCCGTAAAACACCCTATCTCTAAGCCAGGCTCTGGCTTAGAGATACGGTGAGGAGCTCCATCATCTGGAGGGAGCTCRGAGTTGAGCCGCTGCTCCTCCACATSGAAAGGWGTCAGTTGAGGTGGTTCGGGCATCTGATTARGATGCCTCCTGGACACCTCCCTTTAGAGGTGTTCCGGCCATGTAACACTGGTAGAAGGCCCCGGGGAAGACCCAGAACTCGCTGGAGGGATCCTCTCTGGCCTGGGAACGCCTTGGGGTCCCTCAGGACGAGCTGGAAAGATTCGCTGGGGAGAGGGATATCTGGGTTTCTCTCCTGGACCTGTTGCCTCCTCGACCCGACTACGGATAAGAGGAAGGAGATGCAGATTTTAACCCAGAAATATTGTGTAATCAGTTAGATCTCAATCACACCTACTACCCAAACCTTTAGTCATAATTTATATTCTTGACTAAGCTATAGCTGTTTATTGATGGCCATCTTGATTTGAGTTAACTCCAACTGTTAATCAGTTGTAGACATAAATCCAGTGATTACTTCCTGAGAGTTTTATCAAATATTTTTGGACAACACACATGCACCGTAGAGCTGGGTGGTATACCAAAAAAGCTTTTTAAAATTTTCATTATTATAAGAATTTTACAAATACCGGCACACTAGTTTAAAAAGCCTCTGTACATTGGGAACGTTGTCTCACGCCCACCAGTAAATTGTTTCATGGGGGACACTTTTCCTCACAACACCGCTCAATGAGCATACAGGGCAGCACAAAATGCAAGCTAGTGTCATTGTTGGAACCGCCTTCTCAGTAACTGGCAGCGGGTGCTGATTATATTATAGTGACTGACAAAAAGAAAAAAGCTCCCATTTTTGCCATTGTTAAATGGAGAATACACCTCTTCAGTGACGTGCATGAACAGATGACCGCAGTCGGCCCTTGACCCTCAGCAGAACCGCTTACAGACCGAGTCCCAGCTCGCACAGGGCATGAGTCTGAGTTCTGATGGCACAGCAATCCTTCATATTGGTCAGGCAGCCAGGAAATGGCCTGAATAGCCACCGACGTTGTTTTGAAGAACACCAGGAGACCCCCAAGTCAATCTGTAGAAATCCAGTGATCAGAATCCAATATATGCTAGTTGAACAGAGCAGAACAGAGGTCCCTCCTTTGACATGTGCTCCCATGGGAAAAAATGTTCCAGAAGTTTAATTAGAGCCCAGCTGACCAAATCCATAAAAATAAATCCATGATTTTCAGTTTCGGATGAAAACGTAGGGGAGGCTCCGAGCAGCAAAGCAAGGAAAATAAGGGAAGGCAGGAGAGAGGTAAAAACTTTATATTATTGGGGGGGGGGTTCTGTGTAAACCTGGATCATCAGGACATGTGGCAGGTTACATTTCTTCAACTGTCTCCAGAATAACTTCCTTTGCTGTGCTTTCTTGAAGATGGACACTGTATTCATCTCCCACTTCAGGTCTCTGATTATGGTGGTGAAAGAAAATATTTTTATGCGTGTTCATTACCAGRATGTGTGCTTAACCATACGGAGAATGTGCAAATGCATSGGAAGGATTATTAAAGAGGACCATACAAAACCAAAGAGCRCTCTTTGCTGAAGTCTAGTCTGGTTTAATCGAGTGACCAAGAGTTCAGACCGACAACAAGGAAGTGTATTTAGTTTTAACAAAAGCTCCAARGCATGGTTCCRCATATTTGATTACGTCATCAGTGGAGTGGTCCTTGTTCTACTGAAGCCATGCCCCTCAGACATCAAAAACCTACCCTATGAAGATTTAAAATTTCAGTTATGTGTTGAATTTGTTTTCAGGCAKGTAGCTATTAATATAAAAAATCAACAAGTTAMGCAAAACAGTCAYRTTTAAYAATCATTACAGTTCTATCATAATGTGTATGTAATTTAARTCAGTTATATAAAGCTAAACCCCAACAATTTCTTCAGTGGTGCCTGGGAGCCTGAGTGACTCAGCAGTGGAAACTGCAGAGCTGTTGATGCAGAGTGGTGGAATCCACCATCTCTACAGTATATTCTGTGTTTAACAGAAGGTGGTTGCAGACTTTTCACTGTTGATTATGAGGCCCACCAGGGTGGAGTCATCTGCACATTTCAGGAGTTTTAGAGTGGGTTTCTTGGAGACAGTCATTGGTGCAAAGGCTGAAGAGAAGAGGAGAGAGCACACAACCCTGTGGTGCTCCAGTACCTSTGTCTGGAGGTCTGAGGTGAGTTTCCCATGTCTCACATGTCAGGTGACCATCAAAACATTTTTCAGCCATTTTGTTGCAAATTCAGGTGTCAGGCAGATGACCTCACACATATAAGTGCATTTTCACAACAAACGCAGTTCCTCTGGTCACCAAAACATTTGGGTCGTTTCATGTACAAAGTAAATAAAAACATTTCCATAAACAGTGTCAAACTTAAAAAGATAATTTTATAAATGATAAACAAAATTACTTTTTTGGAAATGTGTTGAAATATATATA